AACAAGAGTTCCTCAAACATTCTATGATTCTGTGATATTCATTAGTTTTCCCTCCCCAGCCTCTGGCCATGATTGCACATTCATCAGGCTCATGTCCTTTTGGCACATAGCTCAGAAGCAGGGTACCATCAGCTAGTGTAAAAATTTTCAATGTTTATCAGTAGTCTGGGGATTTAAATTTATAATTGTGATTTCATATGATGTGCAACTTCATATGGAAAAGCCTCTTTAGTTTTTCATTTTGATTGAGAATATGTTAATCCTTTTTGTTCCCATTATTTTCTGCCATTATGTTGGATAATAATGGCTTTGTTTAATTTGTGTGACATTAATTTTTAGGGAAAACTGACATGTGATAGTATGGTAAAGCAAAACCTGCTTTGTCCAGGTTGACATTTTGGCTCTGGCTGGTTTCTGTATTAGCTGATGTTTACAGAGAGACAGGAGAGGAATCCACCTTGGTTTTGAGTGTAGATGCATGGAAAAAGCACTGTTCATTTATGCCATGCATTCAGATGTGTTTTTCAGCTTGCAGTATTCAAAAGAAATTTCAGGATTTTGGGAGAGAGTGAAACAGGGTTATTTGTCTGTACAGATTGATTCATTATGTTATCTTTTTCCCAGAATTTGGGATTTCTTTTTCTGTCTTTAAAACATCTATATATGATGATCATATTTCACAGACTCATTGAATAAGCTTAGAATTAAAGTCTGCTAGTGAATTAAAGCTAGAAGTGGGTTGACTGATTATTCCTTGTAACTCTCAAATAATGGAATTGATTGATGCTGCCCTTTAGTGTGACCCAGTGTAACACCACATAATTATGTGGCATCAATATTCACAAAAATAAGATGGCATCCTGAAGATGGGAATGAGGAAAAACAGGATAATGGTAGAGGAGGGCTCATGGAGACTGTCTGCAACAGGCTGGTGGTGCTTTTCTGGCTGCAGCTTTTATCATTAAGCTGGAAAGCACAAATGAAAGGATTACATTAGGAACCTGTAAAGATTTCAGCCTGTCACTGTTGGTGCACGCCTGTCTCTCATTCTCCCAAATACAGTGTTCCTGCATATGTCTGCATTTGCCTCCAGCTCAGCACTCCGCTCTTTTTCAGTGCCTTTCATCTGCTGCAAATGGCTTCAAAGTGGCTGCTGACCAGCAGGTTGTCTCGGTGCAAGGCAAGGTCTCCTGTCTTCCACTGAGATCTCAATTGAGCTTCCAGCTACTGATCTGCTCAACCACCAGGTGCAAGCAGCCACTGATGTCTGATAGTTAATAAGCATTTGCTGCTAATCAGCTACTGCAAAATGCATCTAGGGCCAGGTACAGCAGTGGCTCAGTAGCAGCAGCTGATCAGAGTTCTTGGAAATAACTGGTTTTCTCCTGGGAGGGGAACAGAGATACGGCTAGTTAATTGCCCGCTGGTAGCTATGGTTTGAAACACTGATTATCTGTGGTTACCAGTGGCGACCTTCTAATTCCAGTGTAAATGGAGCAGCACTGGTGATTTGGAGCTGGGACCAAGTAGAGAACTTCATGGTTTAAAGGATACTGAGCAAGCTGTAAGGAATGAACTTGATTGCGCGCCATGAACACCAGACATTGAGCATGTTCTGCTTACCTACCAGCTTTTGTCTGACAAGATAGGAACAGGGACATTGCTTTAGTATAGTGTTCTCTGCTCTCCATTTTACACCCTGTCTTTGCCTTCAAAAGTTCCCAGGCCAACTGTCTCTGGGCTACCCAGCATGCAGAGGTGAGCTAGTCCAGTGCTGTCCTTGTGGGCTGCTGGGCCAATAAGAGGCAACCTTTCTGGGCTGTCACTCCGGTCTCTCTTGTACAGAGAAGGGAGGCAAATTCTCACCTACCTAATGTAGCAGGATGCATCTGGTGGTGTGGCTGTGTGTTGATTGGGCTTGCCATGAACCACAGAAAGGACAGGTTGAGCAAGGACAGACTGAGCTAATATATGGTACAAGGGCAGGATAGCAATTAGATGAAAACTGTTTGAAGCCTTGTGTTTCAGTTTTGGTCTTCTGTGGCAAGGCCTAACATTAACTTTCACACCTCTGACAGACAAGCTTTGTGCTGTCTAAAATATTACTGCCAAAAATCCTCTGTATTGACACTCTAATTGGAAGGATGTTTTTCTCTAAAAACTGGCAACTGCTAAGAGACACGGAAGAGTAATTCAGGCTGTTACCTGCACTTTATTCTGCAGATGCCCTTTTACGTACCATAAATCCTAACCTGCCCAAAGGAGCTCTTTTAATTGTGTTATGAGCTTAGTTTAAGTCAGTTTGACATTCTTTGAACAGAAGTGTTATGTGAGGTTGATGGTCTGTATTCCTGTACTTCAGCTCAGAACTTGAAATTCATCTCTGCCCAAGCACACATGGTTTGTTTTAAAATGCTTTGCAAATGAATATTTTATTAGGTAGCTGTGGCCAATTGCTGCAGGATGGCCTTTGATAAGCTTCGTAGCCAAGCGGCGTTGGCTGTGTTGGCAGAGCCCTCTGGTGGGAGCTCAGCCTGTGCCAGCAGCAATTGGTCCTGTGGGCAGTGCCACTCGCTTCTCCCAAACACCATCAGCCAGACCTCTCTGGGCTCTGTTGATATTCCACCAGCTGACAGCTCAAGTGGTCAAGGGGCTCCTCTTTATCTCACAGAACCTGTGGAGCGCACTTGGCCGATGGTGTGCTGTAAGTGCTTATATAATTTTAGGTGTTGATTTGCAAAAAAAAAGTACTGCTTAGTAAAAGTAACTGACTTAATTAGACACACAGTGGGACATTTCTAAGTCAAAAGCCACAGTCTTCCATTTCTGTTGGTCAGTAATGCTTCTGCTTATCAAGGTAGTTGAGGAAAGGGCTTTTGTGTTTTAAAATTTCAACTTACTGAGCGTGAAGGAAAAATGTTATTACACTTGTCTAACCTAACAGTATTCAAACCAGAATGTGCAAACAGATCTTTTAATCTGGTTAGATCCCTGAAGTGTTGATATAATGCAGGCCAATAACTCCACTGCAGGAAATCCAGATGTTTGAGATTGTTGCACAAGTAATGCAGTAGTAATAAAGGGTCTTTTTTTCCTCCTCACATACTGGCCAGAGCTGTTCCATTGATTTGAAACACTCACAACTGTGCACAGTATTTTATCTTCATTAAAATAAAGAGGAATATGTACCATAGCTTAGAAAAGGCTTTTGCCTCTGGTGGTCAGGACCCCTTTCTGATGAAGTTGGAGAGTGGTGGCAAGTCAAAGGCAGTCATATTTCTGTCATTTTACTTGTTTTTTGATGAAATTTTTTCTTACGACAGACATACAAATTCTTTCAAAAGCTAAATTAACCTTCATGGCCTGTATTTGAAATGCCATTTCACCTTTGCTTTGAACTTACCTACTCCATCACTGGGGTACAGCAACATAGAACTGCTCTGTTAAGAGACCCATTATGTGAGAGGCAGTTGCATGGTGGAACTCCATGCTTCAGGTTGTTGTGAATTCCCAAAGCTGAACATGTTTCAGAAAGCAATTAAACACACTTATTAAAGGAGGAATCACCAGTATGATGAGATGCAGGTACCACCTTTGAAAATTCCCTAGCTACATCCAAGGAATGGGGCAGAAGTGCATGGCTATGTGTACTCACCCTCTTCCTCCTTACCCCTGGGTGAAGGCAGGATGCTGAAATAAACGGGACTGCTTAAGGAGAGGGCTGGTTTTGTGGTTCATGTCACCCTCTGCTGTTAACTGGAGGAGCTGTGATGAGGGGAGTACCAAGCTCTTTTCGATGGATGAGGACGTACCCTCCTTCTGCAGCCTAGAGATGTTCTTTGTCGAGGGATGTTGTTTTCAGATGAACCTTCCAGCTTACCTGCAGTCTTATCTGGCATTTTCCATGGCCGAGTGGCTTTCCTCACCTGTAATGAGTTTCACTGGAGGCTTATTACAATTACACATAGGAGGCAGCACAAAGGTTTTTATTTCTTGCATGATAGCTTCTTCTTCCTGTTTTTTAAATAGCGTTGTGGTTAGAGGCTTTAATTCTCTGGCAGATGGTAATGCAGTATGTTTTTCAAGCCCTGTACCTTTTGACTCTAGGATATACCCTTTGCTTTGTGACTTTATAAAGCTTCTAAAAAGCTAGTTTCAGCATTGAAATTCCCTTCCCTTTTTATTGCACAATATCCTCATGATTCAGCTTTGTAGAATACTGTTTTACTTCCATAGGTTATTTTGTCCCATGCTCTTTTTAATATATTAACATGCAGTTTTAACCCTGTGATGCAACAACCCCTGTGAGTTGTCTATTTTTACTCAGAATTTCAAATGTAAATGTTGCTTTTACATTACTATTGGTTATCTCTAATCTTGGTCTCACAACAAAATCTGTTGGAGAGTTCATCCTCTTTTGTCTGTGCTTTTATTTCAAATGTAATTTTTGTATTTTCAAATGTGGAACGTGGCTGATGATATAACATCTGTGCTGGTTTTTTTATTTAGTAATCCCTGCTCTTCTAAAGAACTTGGTAAAGTCTAATATTACCATTCAAATAGGCAGGTGAGAGCTTTTGGTGATCAGTAATTTGTACCTTTTCAAAAGCCGCACTGCCTTGCTTTGTCTTGGAATTTATTATGCTTCCCAAGTATAATGTGACATACTGAATAGGGCAGGGGGTGGGGACATTGTCTTCAGCTGACATGCTGTTATCAGTGGGACTGTGTTTCTGGACGCAAGATTTCGCAGTCATTGGTTGTCCGAAGAAAGCCTTTCCATCTGAGGATTGGACAAGAAGATGCGTCAATTTGCTGCCCGTCTCCAAGGTACTGGTGATGCTGCCTCCACAAGCTGGCTAACGTCACAGCTCCATCACCCAGCGGGGTGTGGGCTTTTTTCTCCTCTTCTCTGTTTTAATTCTGTGTTTGCTTCCTACTGCATTTCTTAATCTGTCTTCTGCCAAATGCTAACAGCATGATATTTTGCAATCATTTAGGTGAATACAAGAAGGACGAACTCCTGGAAGCTGCTAGGTGAGTACTGCTTAGAATATAAAGCATATTTTGGGGGTGGAAACAGGCGAGGAAAAGGGATTTTTAAAATAGTAATGTTTTGTCATTGCGTTTCCATGAAATGATGCAAGCAAGCCACTTCATTAGCATAAATCTCTTCAGACTTTACAGTCTGGTACAAATATAAAAGCCTGTTTATGTAATTGAAATCCCCCACTATGGTGGTTAGAAGGTTAATATTGAGTTTTTGCTTTAAGCTCCTTAAATCCTCTTTATCGTTTTGTGACTGTTCTTTTTAGGGGCAATTTAAATATTGGAATCTTTCTTTTATTTTGGTTTTTACTGCTGCCATAGGATGTATTTTGAAAATAGGCTTTATCAGAACAGAGCATATGGAAGCCTATACAAAAGGTGTAAAGTTCAGTCATATATTGCAAATGTGCTTTTCATCTTTCCTTCTGACTGCACAAGACCATTTTATATAGACTGTTAACCCTTCTGAAAAATTTCTGGGTATTGATTTGTAGTTGTTTCAAATGTTATGGGCCATATGCTATGAAAATATGTTAAATCCAGAACATTTATTTCAGCAAATGGCTTTCAGAGGATCTGTAAAATTAGATAAAGGAAATATAAAATGAGGCTAAGGAGAGAAATTGAAGTGTTTGTGCGTGATCTTTTGTAATACATTTAATTGCAAATTTAGCATTCTTTTCAGTATTTACCCTTGGTTTTCAAATGTTCGGAAGATTCTTTAGCCATCTGACATTCTCCCTGGCAGAGTACAAATTTCAATATATTATACTTTGCAAAATACTTGCTAAGGATCAGGATATCAAAGAGCTCTGTCCTTTTTCCCCCCCTTTTCCACAATCTTCTCTTCTCCATTTACAGGAGTGGTAATGAAGAAAAACTGATGGCTTTACTGACTCCTTTAAATGTGAACTGCCATGCAAGTGATGGGCGTAAGGTAAGTTAATGCCTGCTTCATGTTTCAGTTGTTTAAGAAAGACCAATTTTAGCATATTGGTAAGCATAGTTGTATAAACCAAGAGAGTGTATGAGGGAAAAATCTGTGATGCCTTTTCACTGTAAAATTAAATGCTGTTATACTTGACACTGGCAGTTGTGACAGTCAGCAGACATGGATTCTGTGTGCGTCTTTTAAATGTCAAACCCTGGTGTACATGTAAAATGAAACTTTAAGACCTTTTCTAAGAAAATGAAATATACTGTTTCAGATGAATAAAATAACTAAAGAAGGAAAGTTATTGTTTATATTTGAACATTGAGTGAGGTGGTTGATATTCGGCTTTGCTCCTAATGCCCTGCCACATAGACTAGCACTGTATTGCTATGCTTAACACCTTCTGCATTTTCTTAAATTTGACGGTATTGTTTTGACTTTCTCTGGCAGGGATGTTTGAATGAGTTAAATTAAGGATTAGGCTGAAACTGGAGGAGGGAAGAACATACGGAGTGAGAAGCAGATCCTATGATTTTTGATGTTTTAGACATCAAGATGATAGTCTGTCTAGACTGTTGGATTTACAAATGTTGGTTATTTTTATTTTTTTTTTACTGTGTACCAGAATGTTCTTAACAGTCATCTATTAAAAAAGTCTCTCACATGTAACAGCACCTCTCACTTTTGGAGAGAAAAGCATAGGAGTGTTTTCTTTTATAGTTTTCTTTATTTTGGTGAGGCATGTTCGAGCGTAGTATAAACCTCTGCCCATTCTGGAGTTGTTGTGGAACAGCTAAGTTCCACTGAAATCAATGAGGGTAGGCCGATTTATGCTTCCTTTTGATTAAAAAGTATATTGTTGCTGAATATAAAAAATACAGCTCCATTGTACAGAAATTCCTGGTTTTTTTCACATATTAAAATGTTTTCTCTGTTGCAATGCCTATTGATACATACTATGTGACAGAAAACCCAGACAGTTTTTTGCTTGTTTATACTTATCACTCATTGAAAATTTATACATCTTTCAGGTTTTGAAAACAATTAATTTTATGGTTTGAAGACAGGCAATTGAACAAGGGCTTTATTTAGTTTAGCAGTATTGAAACTGATGAAACACTTCCCATGTTATAAGATTAAACATATTGCCCATATTTCTTCAATTTCTTTTTTTAAAGACTTTGACATTCAAAGAAGAGTGTATTTAGGTGTTAATAGTGCACTATGTTATAATTAAATGTGGTGGAATACAGCAGTGCGTTACTGAGTAATTGAGTCCCTATCACTATTGATCTAAGGCCAAATGCAGAGTTATGACTTCTGTCAATAGTGTGAGGAATAAGCCCTTGCAGATGTTTTCTTGAATATTTCTCATTTTAAATTAAAAATTATAAAAAAATGAAGCTTTTAAAATTCATATTAAGCTAGCAGAAAATATTTATGTATTATTGCAGCCTCTGAATTAGTTTGAAAATTTATGCCCAAAGCTTAGAAAGCATATTGCAGTTAAAGCTCATGAGTGTGGACACTGAAAATACGGTTTTGTGTTTGGTTGTTGCTAAATGCACTGGTTATTGAAACTCCTTTTAAGATGGCTTGCCATTGATATCAATTAGCTTTTTTAAAATTATGTCCACCAGATGTATTTTTTCCCCTACCATATGTGTACAAGCTGTGGAAGGTGAAGCAATGCTCTGTAGCAAGTGTGGTATATAACTGTTAAGTATTTAATTTGTAAAGCAAAGCTTTCAGGTCCTGTGCTAGTGCAAGATCACTTAGTGTTTAATCATCTTAAGCTGTGCTGCAACTTAAGGGAACCTTTCAGCCTACAGCACAGCATTCTTGTAAATGAAAGTCTCTGCTGGTGTAGCTGCCTCTAGTTGACCTATAGTGATTCACGCTAGCTGAGAATTTTCCGTTTTGGAAGTAGCTTTTTGCATTCTTTGATGCTTTTTGTAATTATTTTTTGAAGATCCTCTGAGTATTCAAGCCTCAAACTTAGGACACTGTAGGGCCACAGAATTAATGCAGCTGTCAGGGCCAGGAAGTGCAGACGCTGCGGATTGGCCTGAGATTCTCAGCATCATGCTTACTCTGCAGTACAGCTATACCCACAAACTCTTTCTCCAGTTTGTGCATTCCTTGGTTTTCTGAGATGTCCAGCACTACTGTGAAATATTTAGCTTTGTAGGTGAAGAAATTGAGTTCCAGTACAGTTTTTCTGTATTACCAGGTGGTGGTAGGGGTTTTTTCATACTTTGGGTGCAATTATATGTAGTTTACCTTTTTCCCCTCCCTCCCCCACCCCTGGGGATTTTTTTCTGTGTCCCGTGTATACTAACATCTGGAGTTCTGGATTTATCAAATATCATATGTGCTGTGAGGTTGTGCTTCACAGAACAGGTAAGAGAGGTGGAAAACTCTGACAGTATCTTGCTGGTTTGAAACCAGCTCAGGATGGAAATAAAAAAGACTTACTGCATTCTGAGTGCTGCTTGTAGCCTTTTTTAAAAGTATTGACAGCCAGAGTCTGATTTCTATTGGACAGGATTCCTTGCTGCTAAAAGAGTTATAGCTGGTGCTCATAACCATTGCTCCATGTGTTTATTTAGCATAGAGGTCAAAGATGAATAGGAATGAAAACTGAACTTCCTTCTTCCCCTCTAAGTCACTGTTCAGATAGATTATGGGCATTGTAGAAATGCTCACGTTACTGAACCTCCTGAGCTGTTGTCTGAAGAGGGAATTTATTCTCTGTGTCTACTTTTGCAATTATTTTCTGGAGTGAAAAATGAAGGAGTGTGTGCAGAACAAAAAGCAATTTTATTTGTCAGCTAAAGCATTCCTGCATACCGAGGATCTAGGTAATTTGTGGGGGGGTTGTTTTGAAGACCAAGGAAAATCAACAGTAGTATCTCAGGAACAATGATTTCATTGAGCTGGGTAATGATTGAGTTTTTTAGTAAGAACTGGCTTATGTGCCTGTTGAATATATATGAGGGCACAAATAATAGTGTACAAGTGCTGAGCTATATAGTACAGTGTATGCAAATGAGTATTATACAAAGCTAAAATTTCACTAAAACTATTCTTTTGAAATTGTCCTATTTGCTTTTTAAAAAGCAATGCTTGAGCTGAAATATTATTATATTTTTTCATGACAGTTAGTCTTTGATTTTATTTTTTTAAACAGGAGACTGAAAACTCACAGAATTGTTAGGATGTGGTGGTGTGTGTATTGCAAAATTGGTGTGTTACCTCACTTCTGTTCACATTGCTTTGCAAAGTATTTGCTCTGTCAAAGCAGAACTTATACAAAATGCATGGCACCTGTGTATTCCTGATGGGTTGGAAATTTCAGTGTGTCCCGCCTATGAGCTCTGCTAGACTCTTTGGTCATCACATAATCTATAGAAGTAATGACTTTTAGAAGACAAGCTATAGTGTTAGATGGTACTGAATTTCATACTGTTAAAAAGCCAAGGCACCTATTTATGTGTCTATCTATGTAAAGGTATATAGACTTTACAGCCCCTGTTATTTCCCCCCAAATATTTTTCTCTGGGGATGTCTTTTTCAAGACTCAGTTGTGAATGAATTTTCAAAACCTGTTTTTTGACTATTTTAAATCGCCAGGTTTATTTCTACTGCTGGAAACTAAAGCTGTATTATTTTGTCATAGGAGCTCCATTTCTGACTTTTTACAACAGTCACTGCTTACCTAATTCAGTAGGCAAGAGACAGGTTTAAAATCGAATATGTCATGGTTGCAGGTTGAGTAGAAGCTCTTAGCTCTCTCATTTCCTTTGGAAGGCTGTTGTGAACACTTGAAAGGTGTTTCAGGAAGAAATTGATGTTGCCTCCATTTTAAAAATGCAGAAGCATCTGAGCTAATAAGGAAGCATTGGGTTTAGCCATTCAGATGAGAACTCTTTTCTACAAGTCTTCCCACATTACTCTTGATAGCTTTCCAAAGTGAACTACCAGCTGACATGGTAGCTATTAGCAATAGGAGGTTGAGTTTTTGTTTTGAAGTTGAATTTTTGCTGGTATATAATATGCTGCACCTGTACTGCATTACACATGCTCAGATCATGCTGGCACTAAAGTACTCAGGGGTCAGTTGAATAAAACCTTTTCTTCTTGCTAGAGAACCCAACTGCTCCAGTTGTTACTCAAAAAACCAGTTTGTTTGGTCCTCTTCTCAAGGTTCATCTCGTGAAGTAGTGCAAATATCTGATATTTTGAGCTCTTTGGAGCATAGAAAAATTATTATTCTGAAAAATAAAATGCATGCTTCATACTTTACTTCAAAATTTCCATTGATTTATTGCAGCTGCATTTTGTTATTTACATTTTGGATCAACCATATGAAAACCAGAAAATACAGTAGCATTACCTGTGATAGCTTGGTCTTGGGTATTAGTTCATCTTGAGGCAGGAATTACTACCAGAAGGCAGCACAGAATGCAATTCCTCCACAGCTACATCATCTTTTTTCTTGTGCTTTCCCTCACTGCCTCGCTCCTCAGAAACTAGGAATGTAGAAATTTCTGCAACAAGTGAATCAGGGATCCTGCAAACAATGCACCTCAGTTTTTCCAAGCACAGGACCATCCAGCACTGTGGATAAGGTAGTGATCCCATGGAAGAAAACTAATACATTATTAATTAAAAGGCCATTTCTAGCGTGCATGCGGTCCTGCTTCACTTAATTTCACTGTGGTCTTCTGACTTGTAGTGCCCCTTTCTTTGTTTATTCGCAGTTTTCAGTCATTAACAGCTCCCAGTACCAGTCCTTACTTACTTGGTATTATGCCTCTGCAATGCCTTTGTTGTCATGCCTTTCCAAACCAGCTGTAGACAACCCTGGATCCAGAATATCAGGATCAGGCCTTTTCATTAAACTTTGTAAGTCATTGGAGACATACTTGCCTCTTGGGTTTGAGTGAGGCTGTTTCTTCAGACCATTCCTGCTTGCCATAGAGATGTTTATTTTTCTC